GATTTGATCCAACACGAGCCTTGTGTTGGACCTTGGGTTTAAGGTAGATAGTTGTTGATTTTAGTTACGCGTTTAATCCAATTAAACCGTTATTTCCTATTGGGCGTTGGACCCAACTATTCCAATTTGGATACATATAAACAAAGAGGAATACATGAAATAATAAGAAGGGCTTATGCCCTTTTACAATACAAATAATGGGCTTATGCCCTTTACAACAACTTGAACTAATCAAATTACATTCAAATCTACATTACTTAAAACCCAAGCATTCATAATGTAAATCGGCCAATCACATAGCTCAATTATCGAGGCCTTTGGTTCATAATCACCCTTTTCTTAATTAACTAAATTAACTAAGAAAGCAACTTTAAACAATTGGTTTTTGGATCCATAGAATTGATTTAAATGGAACTAAATATAATGAAAATCAAATTCTCATTAAAGAGACAAAACAATTTTTGTTCTCATTTTGTTTTTGGGCCAAAAACAATGACCACAACAATTTGGGTCACTTTGTTAAAACAAAAAACTTTTGGGGTCAAAATGCAAATACACAAAAGTATCAAAACTTTATTTAATTGCACAAAAGCACCCCACTAGAGGGGTGGCCGGCCAAGGATAGTTGTTATAGAGATTTTTGATAAAAAGAATTTTGTAAGTGGATTTTGGTGGGTGAGATTAAAGATGGTGGGGATGGTTTGAAAAGAAAATATATCTTTGATATAATTAAAACCATTTAATCATTTCTTACCAACAATCATCATCCATCAACTAATATTCAAAAATATATCTTTGACATAATTAAAGCCATTTAATCATTTCTCACCAATAATCATCACCCATCAACTAATAATCAAAACTTTATGTAAAACATAAAACTTTTGAATCAAAACTTCAAAACTTTTTGTTCTTGATAAGAACTTCAAGAAATATGAAGAACATACATGAAAACTCATAATAGCTCCATGGATGTTTTCTTTCACCAAAAACGTTAATATCCTAGGGTACTTAGGGGTTCCAAAAAGCACTTTAAAACCATTTTAACAAGCCTAACATGAACCCAAAAAATCACCCTTTGGATTTGGCCGAAATTCCCAAAACACTTGGCACCAACTTTTAGTTCCATTATTCATGCTTTAATGAAATACATCTACAACATTTGAGATGCTAAATTTTCAAGTAAAATTTATATTCAAAGCAAGAACAAAGCTTGTAACATTTACAACACTTAAATCACAAAATATGAAAAAACACAAAACCCAAAAGGATCCACCATAAACTAGGCCTAGGCTCTGATACCACTTGAAGGAAAAATTTTGTCCTAGCTAAGAACATGTAAGAACATTTGAATACATATGCAAACTAATAACACTTTAAAGTAGGCATGCATTCAAAAACAATTCATAAAACCCATGACTTTCAAAGCCTAGTATATGGTGAACCATAAGACTCTTTAACAATATTAAAGAGAATAAGAATTTTAGAGATTCTTTACCCTTGAAGCTCATCCTTGATTGCACAAGGGATTCACCCAAGTGGAGGGCCTTCAAGTCACCTCCTTGCTCCTTGGATCTTCCTTGTGATTTTCTCCCTTTTAGTGCTCCTTTTCTTCTTTGAGGATTTGAGGATTTGTTCTCCAAAACACCAAAAGTTTGGTGTCTCTAAGTCTCCACACCAAAGATGTTGTGTGAAGATGAAATGGATGACTTAGGGAAGAAAGATTGCTAGATTTTCTTCACCTAAGGTGGCCGGCCTCTATGTAGAAATTGAGAGAATAGGTTTCACCCAAATTCAATTAGAAAACCCTAAGGATGAAATGACTATAAAGATGTCTTTATACCACCTCACAATGGAGTGGCAAACTTGCAATTAAGCCAAGTTCACTACCATCCACCCTTATGGCCGGCCATTAGTTGTTATTGGGCTTAATTGCCCATTTTGTTTTTAGTTGTCATACAACTTTAAACATAATGGGCCTTGTGGACCAAAACGTTTTTGTGCCCCGAAGCCCAAAACTAACTTAAACGCCCAATACGAACGTTTCGTATAATTAATTAACTATTTAATTAATCTTGACCATTCTTCAATTAAACCATTTAATTGCTTATCCATTTCATATAATTTCTTCACTTATATCTTTACTCGGTGTACGATCCATTAGGTTCCAATTAGCGAGGTAGTGGGCGATGTTACTCTTAACGATCGATTGTGAATTGAAACCACATTTCAATTCTCCCTTAAATTAGTGTTTGCTAATCTTTAGGGCTTCCACAAACCATGGGTGACGCCTAGCAGCATGTCATGGTTACCCAAGCTAAGTAGAAGTGGTTGGAGAACCTATCCAGTTACAACTACAATGCAATACGGTCCTTCTCTAATACAATACTCTTAATCACATTGTTTAAGTGATAGTTTGTTTCATGTCTACTATCCAATGTGATACTTCTCTATATGATTCAATTGAATAAGATTTGGAACATCTTCCTTAGTCATATTCATATGCTTTGGCCAAAGACTCTCGAATCATATCTTAGAGTATTCTCCTTCCATCATGGAAGGTTAGAGATCCTTTGTTGTGCATTCATATGCCTACATGACTAGATAGCTTGACCCCAACAATGCCGTGGACACTCCAATGGAATGCCGTTGACATAATCAAAGATCAAGGACCTAACCATTAGACATCAATGATGCCTCAGGTCAAAGGACTACTTTGCATATTGCAACTATTGAGTTCTCACATGACATGTATGTTCGAACTCTCGTTTGATCGTTGTTCAGTGTACTCGATTACTCTTTCGAGCACCTATGTGTTTGCCTTAGTGTCCAACACCAAATGACTTGAGACTAGTTCATACTCACGCTTGAGTCGACATAACACATACTAACCTTAGCGGATTGTCAATGCCCAATTGGCAATCCTATGGCTAGGAACGTTTTAGGAATGAACATAAGAGAAAGGTCTCGTTAATTTAACTAACTTAAATCACTTGTCTCTTAGATCAAATACATTCCTTGGATTCCCTTATTGCTTAAACACAAGATACTATAAATAGTGATTAACAATAAGTTTTGCCCTCTATTAAACATATATAAGTTTAATACAATAAGTATTCCAAAAAGCTATTACATCAAATGAGTGGCTTTGTGGGCATACTTCCAACAAAGTTGACGAGAACTTTTGATATATGTCAAGCCATGTGTTTTGATGATTGTCAACATCTACTGAGTAATGTTGTAGAGGCTGGTCGAGCATCACTTGTTGAAATCTGCCGGGTAGTCATTTCATCAAACAAGTTGGCACTACCATATATTCTACCAAACTACCTTAGCGTTTCCGTAGGACCTTCCAAGTCAATTTCCCATGTCCGTAGAATCCCAAAACCCAAATAGTCCATTAATAAATCCGTCCTTATATGTTTTGCACTTGTAATTTAGAAATAAGAAGAATGACGATTTCACGTGTAACAAGTATAAGGAGTGCCCAATTTGATTTGGCACCAACCTTTAACTCAAGGGTTGTGTAATGCGTGCACCAAACCGACCTCTAAAATTACTCAAAAGCGTAACCCCTGTCTATATTTTGGTCGGAGGTTGAAAACCTATGTTCTCAAAAAATAAAAAAAACTGGGACAGACCCATACGAATGTGAAACTGAACTCATAAGCCACGACCAATAAGAATCTAACAACAAAGACAATACAGAAATTTGGTCAAAGTCAACACTTCCTTATAAGGGTCCCACACCCAGAAAGGCCTTCACCGTCCTCTGCCACCCAAATCCATCCTCCCTCCCAACCCCTTAAATAATGGAAATAAAGATGCCAAAGGACACCACGAAACCTATCTTTTTGTGCTCCATTCTTTTTGCTTTGGAGAATAATACATATAGTTGAAAGAATCATCCTGTATTGTTGGGGAGGAGCTGCATATATTCAACAAAACTTGAGTTTTTGAAGCATAAAAAATTATGAGACACATTAGTTCCTCATCATTTCTACTAGTTTTGATGATGTTTATAGTGTTTTCACTGTCCAATGTTGTTGTTCTGGTTGACTGTAGAGGTCTTATTGGTTCAGACGGGCGTAGAGGAGCCGTTGGTGGATCGATGTCGAAGGCAACGGTTTCGAGCTTTGCCGGGAAGATGAGGGACAGGGTTTTGGTCAGGTATCACAAAATGTCTACGTTGGCTTCTGGACCTAGCAGAAAGGGTTCTGGCCACTAGATGTAGCCATATTCTTTACATAGTTTCATACTTTCATTGTTTTTCAATGGCTTCCTCCATTGTTTCATACTTTCACTCTATTCTAGCTGTATCGTACGGTACATGTAATTCTTATGTATTTCTCAATGCACCTGTACAGAAGATAGAGTTTGGAACTAGAAATGTATGAGCTCAATCAATATATATATATGTGTGTGCGCGTGTGCAAATATATTTGTAGCCGAAACAAATGTATGTTTACCATGCTTATGAAATTAAGGAAACGAAACACGCATCTTAAATCTAACTTAACTAGCAAGTGGCTCATAACTTAAAGTAGTTAAAGAGCATTTACCGTGGTACTTGACGTCCTATATTCGATTCTCCCACCCTCAATATTGATCCGTATCAAAAACTAAACTATGTGTTCTACAACATTAGCATATTGTTTAGGACCGTCTCCTTCAGTTTGACAGCTAGCTAGCAAAATCTGTTTGCCAACTAACCAACCCTAATTTTGGACCATCTCCTACAGTTTGGAGTTAAATGACATATACCTTGGTTTTTTAAAAAACATGAAATCTCACATCCGGAATTTGAAGAGTTACGGTTCCACACGTGTCTAATGGTGCAAGTTAAATATTCTATTCGATCCACGTATTGAGCAGTTTGTTCACGTTCCAGCCCAATTTGGTCACATGTGCCCAATGTCACTTAATATATTTGATCCACATGTTTGGCACAGTCCAATTGAGGGATCGTGTTACAGAATATGAAATTCCACATCAGAATATGAAATGCAATTGTGTTCTGGCGGATAACTTTTCTGTCAATCGAAACTTATAGATGAAAAAAGGGCACAGCTAATAATACAGTGAAAGGTAAGATCCAAACTAACAGAGCCACACCGATATTAGCTTAATTTACTGGCAAGAAACTTAAACAAGGTCAATATCGTTACCTCACAGAACAAGAAAACTTGTAAGTTATCTGGCATCCCCAAATTTCAATTGGGATAAAATTTGGATTGCTGTTGTGTCCCTCGATTCATCGTCCCCTCATAGAACAATATCATCTGTTTTAACCGCAGAATTAACTGAAGGAAAACGCTCAACGTTTAGCAACATGTATGCCGTTGGTGAAGCATTGGCTTTGCTGTCCTCAAAATTACGTTCTTCTCTATGCTTTCCTGTTTTGCTGGATCTTTAGATGTATAATCCAAGTCCCACGGCATATTCCCCATTGTAGGCCTAGGCCTATTGTGAGCATCTTTCGCAGACATTTCTCAACCGTCTCACTAAACCAACCACAATTGAACCCTCCATTATTTCCAACCACACCAGCAACATCTGTACTCTTTGACATTTGATATTCCCTCCATTATTTCCAACATTTTCAGTCCATTTTGATAGGCTGTTCTATTATAGACTCTGTCGTAGCACATACACTGACGTTAATGAGTTCAGACTCATCTGAATCCACCATGAAATCATAGTAGAAACGAGTAGTTGGTCAGGAGGAGAAAGGGGAATCAAAACCACCAAAGTTAAAATACTACATTACCAGGTTAACTTGGTCTTTTAATGTCAGTGGGAATGCTAGACACCTTGTCCGGGTTCACTTCTTTGACATCGGTAGGTATGCTAGACACATTGTCCCAGTTTCTCCATATTCTGTGAGTATCCGGTGTGACTTCCTGCCCTTCAACATTTACCCTTTAAGCTGTAGGCAGAACTATAGGGAAACTACAACTGTAATTCTCAGGGTTGAGGAGTAAAAGATGATGCTTGAGGAGTAATACATATTTTTAACAAGCCAGGGTCACTGCCGAGAAAGAACTCCTTTGTCATAGGAGAGTAGCAACTATTCTTAGTAGAGAAATAGCTAAACAGTATGAACCCAGAAGTTGATGTATCAGGAAAAGCGGAAACATCAAAAACAGCTGTGGAGAGATTACTTGAGGAGGAAGAGAAAAGGAAGAAATGCATGCATGCAATATAAGTCTCTTTTCCAGTGATCTCGAATTCATAGTAGGATTGTTGCACGAAAATTCTAGCTGTATGCTAGATAGTAGGACTGAATGATCTGGAAACTGGTTCCTGCCTTCGGAAGCTGTGCTTCCATTTGAGGAGAAGGAATCATAAGTCACATCTCCTATGAACTTCCAGCCAGTAAAGTTCACAGAAGCATCTGATACACAATTGCTAAAATACTTATCTGGGATATTATAAGCTAAGGAGACAAAGTGAAGGGATGAGAACCGGAGGATAAGAACAAGCAGAGAAGATATACCGATATGGGTTCCATGGTTGGGTTAGACCAATTTGGTCAGGAGCAGTGTGCTCGACTCTTTGCATCGAAGTTCCAATATCCCTCCCTGTAAATTAGAGTAATTTAACTAGAATACCGTCTTGTTAGTAGAGAAATTTTATCATCTAACATTATCTCAAAAGTAAGACACTCCTCGGGGGGTAATGAGGTGAAACTCCCAAAAAGGAAAAATAGTTTATTATCATAGAATTTGTTAACTTCTGCTTACGCACAATTCGTATGATCATATCCCATCTTAAAGATAGGAAAATTATCAAAGATAAGACTAAAATTAACAAGGCACACCTGAACTTATAGCTATTCAATCTATAGATACTTGAACAAGGTTAACTTAGATACCTCACAAACTGCACACCAATCTTCAGTTGTGAGAATACTGCATTGCTGCCGTGTCCGATTCATCCACCCCGGAAAAGGTCATATCATCTTGGTTAACTGTAGAGCCATGGGAAGGAAAACGTTGAATATTTGGCAATACAAATTCTGATGAAGCATTGATCGTGCTGTCCTCGTAGAGCTCTCTATGTTTTGGGGTTTGTTGGAGCTGTAACGCATACTCCAAGTCCCACAGTACATCACCCATTGTAGGCCTATCATAAGCATCTTCTTGCAAGCATTTCTCTGCTGTCTCGCTAAATTTTCTTAGCGAGCCAGGATCAATCTGACCCTTGAGTGAAGAATCAACAATCTGTTCAAGCAATCCATTCTTCTTGCAATTCATTCCCCATTCCGCTAAATTTATTTGCTCTCTTGGTAGATTCCTATCCAGAGCAGGTCTTGCACATAACACCTCAAGGAGAACAACGCCGAAGGAGTAAACATCCGATTTTTCTGTCAACTGTTGAGTCATTATGTACTCAGGATCTAGGTAACCAAAAGTGCCCTTGACATTTGTGCTGACATGGGTTTCGTCAAGCGGACCAGATCTTGAAAGGCCAAAATCAGCAACTTTGGCAACACATTTTGCATCCAACAAGATGTTGGTGGACTTAACATCGCGGTGAATGATGCCTCCGGCTGCACCTTTGTGGAGGTAATGAAGACCCCTTGCTGCACCAATGCATATTTCAAGTCTTTGCTTCCATGGCAAGCGAGGCAAATTTGATTCATATAAATGTTCTCTCAAGGTCCCTTTTTCCATGAACTCGTAGACCAATATCATCTCAGACCTTTCATCACAGTACCCAATTAAGGAGACAAGATGGCGATGACGAATCCTGGACAAAACCATTATCTCTGTTTCAAACTCTGGAAGCCCTTGACCTGAACTATGTTCATGTTGCTTACCTCGCTTGACAGCTACAATTCTGCCATCTGATAGAGTTCCTCTATAGACGTTCCCAAAGCCACCCTCGCCTATCAGAAATTTTGTGTCGAAGTTGTTTGTTGCTTGCTGAAGTTGAACAAAAGATATCTTCAACCCAAGATTTAGATAAGTCATAGGGGAGCCAGTAATCGTTCCCTCGGTGAACCTGCTGTGGGTACTCCCTCCTCCAAATGCAGGCATTGGTGACCATTCCGAAGTTTCAACATGCTTTGCCTTTCTGTATTTCAAACCGAACAAGAACCCGACAACCAAAATGCAGATAAGGGTCAGACCTCCAAGAACCGAACCAACCACAACAGTGACATTTATGCTCTTGGGCTCTTTCATATTTGGAATTGGTGCTGATTCCTCCGTTATTTCCAACATTTCCAGTCCATTTAGAAAGGAGTTGTTAGTGTTAGTTTGTTCTGCGTTAGGACCTATGCTGATGTTAATGAGTTCAGACTCCTTAGACTCCACCACAAAATCATAGTAGTAAGGCAATAGGTTGCCATACATGGAATTGGGTCCACCGACCCTCTTAGTGAAGTTTCCATTTGAATACAAGTTAAAAACAATGTCAGCAGTTTGGCCAACAAGGTCACAAAAGTGTGCCCGGACGAGATGTTTAGCGTTCCTGCGCACATTAAACGACCAGGTTATGTTGAACAAAGTGGACGGGCTGGTACTACTATTGTCCATTACCTTGGCAGTGTCGTAAACTGAAACTGGGGCAATAGAATCATTAGCAGCAGCAACAAAATCATCCTTTTCATAATCCTTGTAGTCAGGCATCTGTGAAGATACGGCTTCCTCTGCCGAGTTTGAATTCTTCAGATAAAGATCATCAGGATCCCAGTTTCGCCATAGTTTGTCCTTATCTGGTCGGAGTTCTTGACCTCCAACATTCACCCTGTAAATTGTACGTAGAACTAAAGGGGAACTACTTGTGTAATTCTTAGGGCTGAAATTTGCGGGGGCACGGAAGACTTCAATGGCATTTACAAATGCAAAAGAGGATCCACGAGGCGTAAAGTATATCCTAAATGAGCCAGGAACAATGCCCAGAAAGAACTCCTTTATCGTAGAATTGCTATTACTATTCTTAGCAGTGAAATTCTTCAACAGCATGAATCCGGGATTCGAAATATTAGGAAAAGCCGAAACATCAAAAAGAGCAGCGGAGAGATTACTTGAGGAAGAGGCGAAAGCCAAGAAATGCAGACGTACAAAATAAGTACCCTTTTCAGTGATGTCGAACCTATAGTAGGATTCTTGCCTGAAAATTCTTGCTGTAAGGTAAAGATTCGACTGGTTGCCGCCGTTGATACTCCTGCTCGCCTTCGGGAAGAAACGATCTGCAGTGAAGACATGGTTATTGAGGGTGGCATTAGCATTTGACCCACAGTTGATGAAGTACTTATCAGGGGGCTCATAAGCCAACGAGGGAAAGTGAAGGGATGAGAGATGGAGGAGAAAAACAATCACAGAAAATAGAGGGAAAGGGGTTTTACGGATACGAAGATTTTCCATGAAAATTTGATGGAGTTGCTGAATTTTGCAAGTGTTTAGGCCATGGAGTTGTATCTGAGTGACCATGTAAATTATTGAAGTAGGAAGACTTGGAACAGAACAAGTGGTGGACTTTGAAGTTGAAAAGCCAACCACTTGAAAAATCAAGGGAAAATAATGGTAGATTCTTGGAAATACCCTTTATATTTGATAGGCTGTAGATATACAGGAGAGGATATTTTGGGTGTTTTATTTGTTTCTTGTGAAGGACAACTACATAATTGACTGATGCATCTTCCACTAGCATCAAGTTTGGTGACTGCTTCTTACTGTTCTTCTGCATTTGGATGAGAACAAAGAACTTGACTACATTTACTGCATTATTAGGACTCTACCTAGATATTTAATAAATTAGAAGAGAATACAAAAACAAAAAAATAAAAGTTGAAAACAAAATGGTTATTCAACGGGTTTGTAAAGAAAAATGCTCGTAAATGAAGTTACGCTAATGCCAAACCAACAGAACACACAACTTAATCCAGTATATAACTTTATTATCTCAAATTTGCATAAGAAAAATTGATTGGGAAAATACTTGCTTGGGCACATCATCTTCCTCAAGACAGAAGCTACTAGAAGAAGAAGACGCAAATGCTGAAATTGGGCAATGCCAACTTCATAAGGTAAATAAAGGAGAAAAAAAGGCATAACAGGGTAAGAAGGCTAAAGCTTTTAATCTTTGATGTAGACATACATTGGTTACAACGAATGTGCTACCATATGCAACCAATTCGAATTTTCATTTTTGCAGTTTAATTTAGTTTACAAAATACACTATCAAGTTCAGTAAAGCGACCTTTTGAAATCCCAACGATAGCCCTCTAGCCAGAAACCGATGAAAAAGAATTCCCCTTTTTGCGAAGCTGTGCAAATTTCAAGTCAAGACCCCTAGTTTATTCTGGTAGGTGCCTAAATGCCAACTGAACTTTTCGAATAGCCAATATTATATTCTCACATCCCAAATTATTTCTCACTCTTATTTTTTTAATATTTTTCTATCAAATAATAGTGGTGAGTAGAAGATATTAAAAATTTTAAAGGTTATGGAAGAAGTAATTTGAAGTGTGTGAATATAATCTTTTTAGCCAAATAAGAGAGATAGAGTAGGACGACATACCCTCATGAGTCCAATTGACATGTCGTTTCTTGCAAACAACAAACAAATTTGGGCCACTTCAACATGTGGGCCCATTTCAACGTAATTTCCTGGTGAGGTATGCCTCAACCTCAAGTAAAAAAGAAAAAGATGTCAATCAAAATTCTCTCTTGGGTTCGATGCTCCGAGCTGGTAAGTCTGCTTGACTGTAGACACAGACAAGTTGAAATTCCCTATAGCATCTCCGGGCTCGAAAGGGATGGATAACCGTGACTTACCACCCGTTGTCCTCCTTTTTACTTTTTTATTTTTTATTTTTAAAAAACTCTAAATTAAAAATGTAATGCTCCATTTACCACATATTTGTATTATTATATGTACCATCTCTCTACCAGAGATAGGGCTCACAAGCAAGGCAAGAGCAAGGGCATGTACGTTGCCTTTACTAACCACTCTGAATAGTACTTGCCCTTGTGCACCTCTACCGGTTTGAAAAGGATAAGGGCAGTACATATATATATATATATATATATATTTTTTTTTTTTACGCTTTGAAAAAAAAAAAAAAAAAAACAAGTGTTTAATTCTACTAAATTATTTTAAATATAAGGCAAAAGAATAGAATTACGACAAACATAATTAATTTAAAATTTGGTGAAAACTCCCTTAATCATATACCCAACTACGAAATTGAAACAACAATATAAAAAATCATTCAAAATTTTAATAATTTTTTCCTATTTTTCCTGATTTTTTTTTTTAATGTAGATTATTCTTAGCCAACTGAAATTGGACGCACCAGATTGCGCCACGTGGCTTAACAATAATATTTTTTATTTTTTACGGTGGGAAATCCAACGATCGAGATCCTCTGACTGTTGGAAATCCAACAGCCCATAACTCGTCACATTAGCTATCCATTGAAGGGTTTTGTGATATCTGTTGCAGCAGGGCCACTGCTGCAGTGGTTGTCGGGCCACTCTCCTTCTAGGTGTGTGTAACTTGACATCAAAAAAATTAAAATATGCTCTGGCATCAGCATGACGTCATGCTAATGTTAGCTTGTCCGAAGGTAGTAGGTCGGACTTAAGAAGGTTGGCATCTGGGCTGGCAGGACTTGGTCCACCACTTCCCCTGATTTTATGGACTGCTGGAGAAGGTTTTTTTGGGTTGGAGGGCCACATTGTTGCCTTGACCCTTGCCTTCCACCAACCGGTGAAAACGCTCTTAGAAAGATGGTACAAATATGTGGTAAGAGTAGTATTTTTAAAATTTATAACCAAACAATATTTAGGTTGATGTTTTAGCCAAAATGGTCCTTGAGATTGGTAGAACTTCTCACTTTGATTCATAAGATTTAAAATCGATAAAAGTGGTATCTGAATTTGTCCACCGTCAATCATTATGGTCCTTCCGTGAAAAAAATGTAAGCTAAATAAGACGAAAAAGACAAAAATACTCTCAAATTTTGTCAAATCATTTTGGCCCATTAATTATTAAAGTGAGGGGCATTTTTTTTGTCATTTTTGTCCTTCTTTAATAGAGATTTTTATGGAATGACCAAAATAATTAATGGTGGACAAACTTAGAGACCACTTCTATCGATTTCAAATCTCAGAGACCAAAGTGAAGAGTTATGCCAATCTTAGGGACCGTTTTGGCTAAAGTACCTATTTGGGTACTGTTAAAGCAAAAAATATCACATGTAAGCCTAAAAACGTCTCAAAGCCCAAGCCAAGAGTAAATACATGCGAAGGTACAAAATTGAGAATATTTACAATCACACCAAGCACATGCGTATTCACCGCGTCAAGCTTTGACACCACATTGTTGTCGTTTACAAATCATGCAAACTACGATACACGTTCATGTAAGCCCAAGCCAAGTGTCAGAGCTTGTCAAGTGGATAGTGATGTGGATGGTCACTAAACCAAGTCCCACAGCATATGCCCCATTGTAGGCCTATCGCGAGTATCTTTCGCAGACATTTCTCAACCGTCTCACTAAACCAACCACAATTGAACCCTCCATTATCTCCCACCACAACAGCAACATTTGTACTCTTTGACATTTGATATCGGAGCTGATCCCTCCATTATTTCCAACATTTTCAGTCCATTTTGAAAGGCTGTTCTATTATAGACTCTGTCCTAGCACCTACACTGACGTTAATGAGTTCAGACTCATCTGAATTCCCCACGAAATCAGAGTAGAAAGGGGAATCTAAACCACCAAAGTTGCCACTTGAATACAGGTTAAATACTACATTACCAGGTTCACCTGGTCTTTTAATGTCGGTAGGAATGCTAGACACCTTGTCCGGGTTTTCACTTCTTTGACATCAATAGGTATGCTAGACACATTGTCCCAGTTTCTCCATCTTCTGTCAGTATCCGGTGACTTCCTGCCCGTCAACATTTACCCTTTTAAGTTGTATGCAGAACTAAGGGGAAACTACGGCTGTAATTCTCAAGGTTGAGGAGTAAAAGATGATGCTTGAGGAGTAAAATATATTTTTAACAAGCCAGGGTCACTGCCGAGAAAGAACTCCTCTGTCATAGGAGACTGGCTACTATTCTTAGCAGAGACATTACTCAAAGTTTGAACTCAGAATTTGATACATCAAAAACTGCTTGAAAAGGCGAAACATCAAAAACAGCTACGGCCGGATTACTTAAGGAGGAAGAGAAAAGGAAGAAATGCAGGCGTGCAAGCAAAGTCTCTTTTCCAGTGATCTCGAATTCATAGTAGGATTGTTGCCCAAAAATTCTAGCTGTATGCTGGAAGTTCATACTCTCTTTGCACTCAAGTTCAATATCCCTCCCCGTAAATTTGAGTAATTTCATCGAATCAAAATCCCAAATTCCTAAACGAGAAAAAAAAAAATTTTAAAATAGAGGTAAATTTGAAATTACCTGGTCGAGCAACCCAGAGAGATTGATGAAGAAGAAGAAGAAAAAGGCTTGCTGGAGGCTTTGATGGCGTTGGGGTCGGATGAGAGGTGGTGGCTAAAAAGCGATGGCCAACATAATCTTCTTCACCTCATCCCTGAACTCTTCCAGATCCACCGTCCCACTATGGTCGCTGTCGAACTTGTCAAATATGGAGTCGTACAGCTGCGTCAGCTGCTCCAGCGGGGTGCCCATGTCGATGTCGAAGAGGGACTCGAAGGCTTTGCGGAGCTCCGACCGGGAGAGGACGCCGTCGCTGTTGAGAGAGAAGGGAGGGAGGGTTGTTTGGGGGTTGCAGGGGAGGTGGGGGTGGCGTTGGTTTTTGGATGAGAGGGGAGGTGAAGAGAGCGGAGGAGAGGGAGGTTGGTCGGGGGAATGGGGTTTCTGGGTTTCAGGTTTTTTTTTTATTTATTTTTATTTTTTAAATAGGGTAAACACAAATATGGAACGGATCAGTGAGTCAATGGATAGAAAATGTAACAAATGTATTATATTGAAATAAAATATGAAAGTAAAATGTTTTGAAGATATTGTATGAGATTGTAATAGACCTTAAAGCTGAGGTGGTAAAGTATAATTTACCCGATTTTAAAATAAACACAAAAAGTACTTGATAAAAACTATTTTTACGACATAGGATGAACGGCTGAAATATGAGAATCCAATGATCCTCATATAACAGATTCGGAGGGGATCATTTCCCCAAGAGAACTTGTCTACATTTATTACATTATTAGGACCCACTTGGGTATTTAATGAATTAAAAATTAAAAACGAAATGATTATCCAAGAGGGTTGTAAAGAAAAGATGCTCGTAAATGAAGTTATGCTAACGTCAAACAAACACAATTTTACCAAATCAAAAATAAAAAACCGAACACAATTTAATCCAGTTTATAACTTTATTACCTCAAATTAGCATAAGAAAAATTGATTGGGAAAATACTTACCTGGGCACATCATCTCCATCAAGATAGAAGTTACTGGAAGAAGAAGAGGCAAATGCTGAAACTGGGTAATGCCAACATCATTTTAATCTCGATGAACATGTACATTTGCTACAACGAATGTGCTACCATAATACCATATGCAACCAAGTTAAAATTATCATTTTTTGCAATTTAAATTAGTTTACAAAATCCACGGTCCAGTTCAGTAAAGCTGCCTTTTGAAAGCCCAAATACAGCCTTTTAGCCAAAAACTGATGAAAAAGAATCTCCTTGTATGAAGCTGTGCAAATTTTAAGTCTTTACCCCTAGTTTATTCTAATAGGTGCCTAAAAGCCAATTAAACTTTGCGAATAGCCAAATAACAGAGAAAGAGTAGGAATGACATATCCTTATGTGTCCAAGTGACATGTTCTTTCTTGCAAACAACAATCACATTCGGGCCACTTCAACATGTGGGCCCGTTTCAACGTAATTTCCTGGTCAAAAGGCCCCATTTTAGGCCTATCAAATTTTATCGACCTCAAGTGAAAAAAAGGATGTCAATCAAAATTCTCTCTAAAATATAAAGTAATGCAACATTTACCACATATTTGTATAACCACTCATGAGTCTCATCGCTAATCATATTAGTTTTATGGTGTTGGTGAGCCTTACCTCTATGCAATGTTTACCACATATTTACTACGTGTGTTGGTGAGCCCTACCTCTATTACTTTATTCATTGAATTTAATCACATTAGATCATAGTCGCTTGATTTAATGTGTTTATAAATATAAAACTAAAAAAAATACACATACATGGTGTGCTAGCTCCACTAACCCGGGAGGAATCCTGAGTTAAATTTGCCCTAGAAATGAGTTTTTGGTTAAAACTCGTATTTGCCCCAAGGGTTGAAGCAAGTTGTGGTAAGTTTAGAACCTAAAATTTTAGTTTTACTCCAAGGGTTAAAGTAGGTCTTACTAATTACTCTGAATAGTAGTTGCCCTTGTGCACCTCCACCAGTTTGAAAAGGGCAAGGCCAGTAAATATTTTTCTATTTTTTTACACTTTGAAAATAAAACAAGTGTTTAATTCTACTAAATTATTTCAAATATAAGGCAAAAGTATAGCATTACAACAAACATAATTAATTTAAAATTTGGTGAAGACACCCTTGTCCTATAACCAACTAGAAATTGAAACAACAATGTAAAAAACCATTCTAATTTCTAATAATTTTGTAAGGCCCCTCTCTTCCTGGGTGCGTGTGTTACACACGCTTGACATAAAGCATGATGTCATAATGATGTCATGCTGGCCATCTAGGCTAGCAGTGGTTGGCTCACCACTTGCCCTTGATTTTATGGATTGGTGGAGAGGGTTTTTTGGGTTTGGAGGGCAATATTGTTGCCTTTGCCCTTACCTTTCACCAACTGGTGGAGATTCTCTTAGAAAGATGTTACAAATATGTTGTAAGAGTAACATTTTTAAATTCATAACCAAACAGGCAATATTTGGGTTGACTTTTTAGCCAAAATGATCCCTAAGGTTGGGATAACTCCTCACTTTGATTCCTGAGATTTAAAATTGATAGAAGTGGTCATTGGGTTTGTCCACCGTGAATCATTTTGATCATTCTATGAAAAACCTACACTACATAAGACGAAAATGACAAAAATACTCTCAAATTTTGTCAAATCATTTTGACCAATTGTTTATTAAATTGCGGGGTATTTTTGTCATTTTAGTCCTTATTTAACAGAGTTTTTTTTCATGGAATGATCAAAATAATTGATGGTAGACAAACTTAGAGAACATTTCTACCTATTTCAAATCTCATAAACCAAAGTGAAGAGTTATACCAATCTCAAGGATCATTTTGGCTAAAATGCTTATTTGAGTACTGTTGCCCAAAAATATCACATTCAAGTCTAATAACATCTCGAAGCCTGAGCAAAGAGTTAATACATGCAAAGGTGCAAAATTGAGAATATTTCAATCACGCCATGCTAATAAAGTAATAATTTATGAGTAGAAAGTTTGTATAATCACTCCAAGCTCTAAGCCTATGTGTATTCACTGTGTCAAGCTATGACACGACATTGTCGTCATGTACAAATCATGCTAACTACAATACACGTTCATGTAAGCCCAAGTGAAGTGCTGGGACTTGCCAAGTGGATTGTGATATGGATGATCACAGAAGATTATCGTGCCTATGTGGATCCATAATTATGGAAGACTTTGGGTTGTTTGGGAGCACCAAAGATTCAAGCCGACAAACTTTGAAACCCACGTAGACAAGTTTAAGAGAGAACAAACCAAAACCTTTTTTTTTTACTAGCAAACCAACTAATTTAGTTAGAAAAGAACGAGAACTTAAGGTTTCAGCTCACATGAAAACCTAGTGCAGGGTGCCCATTATTGAAGAAAGATGAGGTCTTTCTTCTTCCCATCTCATGTAGGACAACGATGAAGGAAAACAAAGAGATGCATTGCCAGAAGCAGCGCATATGGAAGGCTAACCAAGGAAGAAGACGTCCACCAATGTTAGGCTAAAAGAGCAAGTTGTAACTGTACCAGGAAATAAGAGAAATGTAGACTTAGCTAAAACATAAGTAAACGGGGAAACCAAAGAATTCCCTAGGGAAATCCAAGAAAGCTACCCTCCACCTATATAAAGGTACATGAGACACAACGTAGAGAGATAACGTAACACAGAGAGAGAAAAATGAAAGGACTCAGGATTGCATCACACCAAACTGGGAAATCCTTCTCTAAAGTGCAGACAGTCTTGGATCCTTAGGGAAATCATCCTTTAGGGTTCTAAGGTTTCCTTTAGGTATCTTTTGAGTTTCCTAAGCCACAAACCCTTAGGAAGCCAAAATTACCCACCCTTTAAAATCATGCAACCAGGCACAGGTTCTCTCTCATGCTAAATTGGTAAACTTCTAGCTTCTACACCACGCCTCACCTAAGCAAGCCGTTATTTGCTTAAACATGCTATCTTTGAGTTATTAATCAACCAGGATACTTTCTAAGACTTGGTATGTAAATGAACCAAGGGAAGCAAAATGTTACTAGCTAAAGCCCAAGTCTAGCTTAACATAAAAGTCTACCAACAGGTACTCACCACTACAAGAAAACATGGCTTAGGTGGTGACAAACATTCGTCACATAAACATGAAAATTTGTCACATTTGATTATATGTGACGAAAATTCAACGTCACTATGTTTGTCACTTATACAGGGTCACCTATAGTTCATGTGACAAATTTTACATTCGCCACATATTTTTAGTATTTGTGACACCAAATTCGTCACTTAATAACTTTAACTGTGATGAAAGAAGCATCACAAAACATAAAAGTCAATGACCTATAAGTTCGTCACATAACAAATGTATAAGTGAGGAATTTATCGTCACCCAATTTGATCCTAGAATGTTATGGCTGAGAATAAGTGAGACTGAAAGCGTCACATATTCCTTTGACATGTGGTGCAATTTTTGTCACATGTGTCAAAATCATAAACCTATTAGGAAAAATTCATGACAAACCAATTACCACATATTCCCTGCTTCGTCATCTAGAATTAGAATTCATAATAATTAGAGGCAATACTTTAGTTAATCACATTTCATTGATCAATAAGTTAGATTACATCCAATATATACACCAAGTTTATATCTCAAAAGCTAACATAAGCATCCTAACACCTCTAAACATATTGAGATGCTAACAAGATTCTAAGGCATTGAGTCGGTAACAAAACAGGTATACCGTGTGCATATTTGAAACCAACAATAAAATACATAATATAAGTCATCAGCCATGTCATGATCTTTAGTTTAGCACATGTATCATTGTCATTTGAAAGATCACCATCACTACCTCAAGTGCTTCTTGAATACTTTCTCCTTTAACTCCATCCTTCTTTTTCTTAATCTTATCCTTACATAATAAAAGAGAAGAAAAAAAAAACATTGGTGTCTAGAGAATAGCAGGTGCATTGAGAAATTGAA